CAAAAGATTCTGGCTTACGAGCTATTCCTCAACAAATACCCCGAATATCGGGATAAAGTCGTGCTCATCCAAATTGCAACCTCGTCTGCTGAGGACCCAGAGCTGAGTGCTACCGTGGCTGATATTGTCACTCGGGTTAATTCGACCCATTCGACTCTGGCCCATCAACCGCTGGTGTTTTTGAAGCAAGACATTGACTTCTCCCAATACATGGCCTTGCTCACCGTTGCTGAATGTTTAATGATTACCAGCTTGCGCGAAGGCATGAACTTGACGAGCCACGAGTGGATACTCTGCCAGGACGGCAAGATTTCCCAGAACAAGTATGGTCCTCTGATTCTTAGTGAGTTCACTGGTTCTGCTACAGTCTTTGGGCACAATGCCCTTTTGGTCAACCCTTGGCACTACAGTCACTGTGCCGATGCTATTAAACAAGCCCTGGACATGTCCCCCGAGGAGCGCGAGAACCGCTGGAAGGCTCTGTACGATATTGTCGTACATCAGAACGCTGTTGGATGGTTTGAGCACTACGTCAAGGGGTTGGAACACGCATGGAAGGAACACACAGTCCGTGACTCCACGGCAGTTCCCCGACTGTCTTTGCCCAGTGTCAAATCCAAGTATTTGAAAGCCAAAAAGCGATTGATAATTCTCGACTACGAGGGGACGTTGGCATCCTGGGGCTCACCCACCGATATCATCTTGACCACTCCCAAGAGGTCGGTCGACGTATTGAACGACCTCATTGAAGACAAGAAGAATATTGTGTACGTCATGAGCTCGAGGATGCCTGAAGAGATGGAGCGGCTCTTTAGTCCCGTTAGTGGCATTGGGATGATTGCGGAGAACGGTGCTTTTGTGCTGGATCCAGGAACCGATGAGTGGCAGGAGTTGACCAACCTCGAGCATGTTCGAAACTGGAAGAAAGGGGTGAGGAGTATTCTGCAGTACTATGTCGACAGAATTGAGGGCAGCAGGGTTGAAGAGCGCCATGCGTCACTGATCTTCGACTACTCGGACGCAGAAGATAGACAAGGGGCCTTCAAACAGGCCGGCGAGTGCGCCAATCATATAAATGATGCTTGTCGTGGACAGAATGTCAATGCAATCCCGATTGAGGATGGACTCAACATTTCGGAGATGGATGTCAACAAAGGAGCAGCCGCCCAGCTGATTGGTGAGAACTTGGAAAAGCAGGGTCAGGGGAAGGATTTTCCAGACTTCCTCATGGTAATTGGGGATTCGAGGGAGGACGAGTATGTCTTCAACTGGGCTCACCGCTTGGAAAAGGCCGGAAAGATACGAGACGTTGTCACCGTGACGCTTGGTGCGAGAAGTACTGAAGCATCAGCTACATTGACTCAAGGTGTTACTGGTAAGTTGGACCTTTACAGTCAACCCTACACGGTAACTAACATTCTGTCTAGGTGTATTGTCAATTCTGGAGAAACTCGCGTGGTCTCAGCAGAAAGCGTGAAGTTTAGTGCTCCGATTAGACTGGATGTTGTTCGTGGTTAATGCGGCTCATTGCACGGAAGGTTGAACAAAAGTATGCAGGGTTTGCACGATGGGAACACGAGCTTATGATATGCTTAGAGCGGGTTAGCGACCCCCATAGATACCCTGTATTAGGAAGGTCAGGCAATAGAAAGACATTCGTCCTAGCGGTAGAGCGAACTCCGGACGGTGGAAATAGTGATTTTCTGCGATACCAAGGAGAAGTATCTGGGAAGCATTCAGTCGGTGCTGCCACTCCTGTGTGGGGTTTTGTAACTTGATCATCTGTAACAGATTTCGAGGTTTATAAGCTATGGTTCTGTACATCCGGTATGGTCCCCAGCGAGTCGATAGATGGGTAAAGATTGAATAGTCGTGAGATTGTGTGTACTCGGTACCGAGTAGCTATGCCACCACGTCCCCTTGATTCAGACAAATTAAGTCTGTCTCAGCCTCGCGAGGTTGTGTCGGCTGCACATCGATGGATTTGTCATCCCCCATATTTCTCCCACTCTCTGCCATTCACTTGATCAATGTTACAAGTCTGCAAAATACGGCAATCCTGAGCTTTCGAGACAAGTTCGACGCGGGATTCCAACGCCGGTGCCAGTCGATATGCTGATTAATATCATCTCATCACCCGGAGGTTTCAAACTTTGACGGCTTGAAGGTGTGAGAACAAGGGCAAAGGGCGTGCGGTGTTTTCTCATTTTGAACGTCGAAACCCCCGCAAGTGTGCAGGTGAAGTTACATCCCTTGCAGCTCTCTTTCTTTCTTGTTGCTTGTTGTCATTCTGGGGACGGGCCTTTATCCCACGGACACGTTTGGCTTACCACGTCAATTGACCAGTTTGTTGTGACGCCAGTAACTTTTGCTATAGCCACGAACCGGTACAGAGAGGCTTCAACTCCGTCGCTTTGAGGTCCTATGTATATAAGAGATCGCCAGACTCTCCGTGGTACGGTCTGTGTCGAATAACGTACTCATTTAGAACAGACGATATAAAGTGATTGTAATTCGCACCTACTAAGCTTTTCCTCCCGTGTCGATTCAGGAGAGAGGGAGAGAGACCGCCTAGCTGCACGAGATTGAACTTGATATGGCTCCCACCAAATTAGGCTTCATTGGCTTGTCCGCTGATGGGTAAGTTGTCCCACAAAACAACAAGACGTTGTGTTGGAAACTGAGCGAGATGTTTCCGTCCTGCAGACAATGGGCCGCCAATTCACATCTGCCGCATATCCAGAAGAGACCAGACCTGTTCCGGATCACGGCGCTGCAGAATAGCAGCAAGGCATCGGCGGAGAAAGCCGTGCAAAAGTACAAGCTGGGCGGAGATGTCGCATGCTACGACGACCCGGAATCTCTGGCCCGTGATCCCAATGTCGATATGGTGGTCGTGTCAGTCAAAGTGCCCGAGCATTATCGACTCATCAGGCCGGCGTTAGATGCGAAGAAGGATCTCTTTGTCGAGTGGCCGCTCGCGGCGAATGTGAAAGAGGCGGAAGAGCTCACGGCCCTGGCGGCGACCCAGAAGGTCAAGAATGTAGTCGGTCTGCAGGCACGCCAGAACCCGAGCATCCGCAAGGCCAAGGAGATGGTGGCCAACGGCGAGCTGGGCGAGATCCTCGGCACCACCATGCTGGGCTCAGGCATGGTACTGGGCGCAACCGAGGCCCCCGTGTACGAGTACATGGCCAAGATTGAGCACGGAGCCAATCTGATCACCATCCCTGCCGGACACGCCATGGACGCCCTCTGCTACGTCTTGGGAGAGATGACGGAATTGCAGGCCAAGTTGGCGACGCGGCGCCCGACCATGGACATTGTCGATGCCTCGGGACAGGTCCTCCGAACCGTCAACAAGACCGCGCACGACTGGATGTCGGTGACGGGGACACTCGAGCGCGGAGGGGGTGTGGCCACGATGGTCTATCAAGGCGGCCTCTCGGACACGGGCAAAGACTTTTACTGGGAAATCAACGGCACCAAGGGGACTCTGGTGCTCGAGGGCCCGAACGGCCACATCCAAATGTTCCATCCGACGATCAAGTTCGTTCCCGCGGGTGCTGGGCGGGCACAGCTGAAAGAGATTCCAGTCGAACCGGCCAGTGACTTTGCCTACAATGTGGGGAAGGTCTGGGATGCGGCCATGGGCGAGGGAGACGGCGGCGTCGTGGCCTTCAAGGACGCATTGCTCAGGCATAAGATGATTGACGCGATCTACCGCAGCAACGAGAAGGGGACTCGGGAGTCGTACCTTTGAATGTCGAGATACAACAACCAGTTTTGGCTCAGGGGGACCAGGACATCGGAGGATGATAGCGCGTGTAGGGGTTTGAACCATTGGTTTTCCTTAGCCAGTGTCTCATTCTCTAGAAAATGAATGCACATGTCGTCGTAGATGACCCTAATTATTCAGCTCCTGCGCCTATTTCTCAGTGAATAGGCCGAAAAATGAGGCTGATCGACGACGGGAGGTCCACTTTCCCCCCTTGTCACGAGTACGAGGACTTCCCAGACAGGTATTCGGGATAGAACCTCCGTATCCACCCGTCTCCTTTGCCCACTTACCTATTACCTACCTGTAGTCGCTCACCGCGCAGGTTCCAACGGCCAGGGTCGCAGGCACATATATTTGCGCGACTCAGCCCCCACTTTCAAGCGGTGGGAATCATTCCCTCCAATAAATGCCCGAGGACTCGGTAGATACGAGTACGCTCGAGTTCTCGACTGCCACGTGGTGGCATCAGCCCTACAGACCTGGCCTGACCTGACCTTATCTGCATGGATCCCTGGTCCTGGTCCTAGGCGCTGGCCCGTTCTGGACATTTGCGCCTGAACTGCGCCCGCCTAGGGCGCGCCCCTTGTAAGCGCTTGTGCCGGATTTGGGAAACCCCGTTGATGAACTTTGTCTTGGGCGGGTGGTTCTTCGGTCCGTCCTGATCGGAAAACATCTCCTCCACGGTTACAGTACGAGGTACATGAGACCCTTTCCATCTCTTTTTTTGTTTTGGGACGCCGTATCCAGATTTCGCTTTCTGCAAGTGTGTGTCTGTATGTATGTCGTCAGCTTTGGCATCGCGTCACGGGTGACGAAAGGTCCCTTTGCTTTTGGTCATTGGGCTTTCAAGTCCGCATCGTCTCATGTACCTCATTCAGGTGCTCGGCTGATTTGCTGTTGTTGGTGACATGGATGCTCACTCGTGACCCTGTCGCTATCAAGATGTTACCACTGGCTGGATGCGCACCGAGCTGAGGCACTGCCACTGACTGTCACGCCCAGCCCATGAGAAGACCGTGCTTGGGAGATCCAGGGGAGAGGTGAACATGTATAAGATGTTTCAAGATCCGCGTTTGTCGTCTCGTGTCTTTGAACCACCAGCCAGTACACACGCAGGTCTACCATCACCGAATAACTTCAAAAACACAGTCCAAAATTTCACAAGCAAGGCTTACCCATCAACTAGTACACTGCCAGAGACAGCCCAGGGCTTTATCACCTAGTACACAATGGCATCGGCTTTCTTCGCCCGCAAATCAGTGCTCTCCATGAACACAACACCCATTACACCAGCCAGTCTTTTCCAGACCTCTTCAACTTCATCTTCGACATCATCATCGTCGTCGTCATCATCATCATCATCAAAAAGATCCTCTCCCGTCACATCCAAGAACCAGTCGACCAGCTCCACGAGCAGGAATAACGGCGGCGCGCCAGGCTCCGACGCAGACTCCCTCTCGAGCTCGATGAGTAATAGTTACGGATCGTTTATGCGGTCCATGTATACCAGAGGCCTGTGATTTGAGCATTTCTTCAAAACCACTCATGCGAGGGTGGTATTTTACCCAAGACCGGCGAAGGAGGTTGGAGGAATTGGGATTCCGGGCACCCATGCTGGACTGTGGTGGTGGTTTCCCGGGATTATGCGAAAGTGTTCGAGCCGAGTTTTTTTGTGGGCGAGAAACTGCCAGAACCAGGCTCAGATGGAGTGAGCTGCTTGGACAAGGCTTCACTGCACTGGGGAGAGTTGTTCTTGTCGGGAGATCGTCACAATCACATCTCTGCGTCCTTCTGGACAACCTGTCGGCATTATACCTGCTCGGTTTTTTCAGCGGTTAGTTGTTTGTCTGATGAAGGGAAAAAAAAAGTGCAATCTTCGTTCCCACTGGTAGACTTCCCTGTTTCCGATTCTCCAAGGTGTTCTTTGTCTGGCATTCGTGGTTTATGACTGATTTTTCGAGAGTCGAGCTTGGAAGTCGGGTCGGCTCCCCATACCACAGAAACACGGTAATATCATCTCACGGACTTTCTCAATCTGCGAGCTACGCCAGGAAAAAGCAATCCTAGTGATGAACGCACGCACAGGTCAGCCGGCTTGTCAAGCTCGCTTAGAGTGTCGGTGGCTCTGGAACAGCAAACTCACTTCGAACAGGCCGTGATCGGTCAGAAACATATCCCCCGTGGGGATTTCAAAGCCCAATGGACTCTCGTCACTCGATGTCCAGTCCCATTGTTGATCGAGGAGGACGGAGCTCGTCAAGTTTTCATCCCTCGCCAAATTGTCCGTGACGGGGTACGCGGGTTCAGTTCCGGTCTCTGCCTCTGCTTCGATATCAAGCCCGTCGATGGCCTGGAAATCTTCTTCGCGTAACTCATGCACGCCGTCGCCTTGGTCGTGTTGTACATGAGCCTGTTCGATACTGCTTTTTGGTGCCTCGTGAGTATCCAGGGCGAGCGATCCTTGGAGCTGTTGGACGTCGTTCAGATCTGCAAAGACGCTCGTTCGAGAAGACTGGAGAGAGGCGGAGCATTGTGGAAGTTGGTCAAACGCCATGGTTGCAATATGTCGGATCTGGGTGAGGGCTTCAGAGCTCGGGCAAACCTCACTAGAGCTAGAGTGTTTTTTCAAGAAATCCGATACCAGCCTCAAAGCTGTGGCCACATGGTGTGGGTAGGGGTCAATGCTGAGGAGGCACACCATGTCGTTGCGACGTGACCCTACCATTGAGCCAAATACAGTCTGAAGCGAGAATTTACATTGCATCCCCAGCGAGATGATATTGATGGTCTCTTGTACTGCAGCCCGTTGCAAGATGCTCAAGTTTGATATCAAATCTCGCCTGTCAAAAATATTCAGGGTATCGTACAGGATCAGCAGTCCTAAGTGATAATGAAGAGCGAGAAGGTCTTGGAGCCCGTAAATTCTCGATATACGCATTCTGCAGAAGGACTGAGCACTTACACCAGTTGAGCTGGGCCTCGAAGTCGAGGAACAGCAATGCTCGCTTACACGCAGCGAGCAGCGGAGCATATGTGACGTCGTATCTGTGCATGCATTGGACAACGGCCGTCTGTGCACGGACAACGAGGTGCGGCTCGTGGCGGTAATTGAACGCTTCGCGGAGGGAGGCGACCGCTTTCCAGAACAACCCTTTACAACCGCTGGCCGACTGAACTATCCAGATCGCGCATTGATTGGTCACCTCGAAGCCGTTGAGTCGCCACGGCTCCGTCTTGTCGTGAAAATCTTGCGCGGTTCTTTGTAGGAGCTGCACTGTACCCTCTTGTTCGAAGCCAAGGAGGCTTGCGTGGAGAATAGACGGTAGACCAGTGGTCAAGGACGCCGAAGTATCAAAGACGAATCCAGCCCAGTATGCGATGGTTTCGCGGAGTTGGTAGCCCTCGTCAACTGTATCAGAGAGGTCGACTGCTGGTCCTGCTCTTGCTCCTGCTCCTACGAGCGCGGACTTGGTTGTCATAGCGGTGGACTCGGAGCGATTGACCTGTCTACGCCTTGCCCGGACACTCAGTAACTGCCGCATCGCAATGTCAATGCACACTTCACCGATATTCCCGTGCGAGAGGTCCTCATCCTCGAGGCCCGGTGGAACAGGAGTCATCCCAAAGATATACAGTGCCAATATCGATCTGTAGCAACGCCTCTGCAAGATGAGGAGGATTTTAGACCGTGCGTTTTGCCAAAGCCTGCGGGCCAGGTCATTCAGTTTGTCGGTTGAAATGTTCGTTCCAGCAACCAGAGGGAGCCACCGGACACTGAATGCGTGGACAGCTACGTTTAAGGCCTGGTTGACCACCGTGTCTGCTTTGACACAGACATTTCCTGGTCCTGGGACTGGATGTCGGGTTTCAACTTGGCCATCGTGACCCCGGCACGGGCATTTCCATTCGTCCAAGCTCACAAACAGCCTGGAAATGATTGTTCTCGAGCCCTATGGGTCCATCCATTCTCATTAACGACTTCTTTTGCCCCTCTAGAGGACGGACGCAAGAGAAACGGGAGGCAGGGTCTGGACTTACATCTGGAAGACCCGGGTATGGACAGCAGCCACTGCCGAGCCATACGCCGAGTGCAGTCTCAAAGACCGAAGAGAAGATGTGCCACATGGAGGATTCGATCGAATCCTCACGTAGGTTGAACGCGCGGGCAACTCTTGAGGACGCGGTGGATCTTGAGGATGATGTTTCTCGGCTTAGAAATCTAGTTGTTTCTCAGACTTTGGCGTAAAGTCACCAAAGGAAAAAGCTGATACTAACACAGACCGTCCACCTTTATGTATATCCCCCTCGTGATCGAATGGCGGATGCACTGCGTCTTCTCCGTTCTCAACGCTGTCGACAGAAAACGCCGAGCTCGCACGTCGACGCCGCTTCGTGACCTGAAGCCACTAAACGAAACACACTATCAGCCTCAATTCCACCGGTCTCGCAGAGAACAGAGTCGACTCACCTTGAAAGTGCAAGGCCGCTCTTTCCGGGCGCAGTTGGTGCATCTGCGATCGCGAAGGCCGCCAACAACAGCGGCTCCTCCTCCTTCTCGCCTGTGCACAGCATCGCAACGGATCCTTGAGGCCCGGCAGCCGTCGCAGCTTGAATTTTGTTTCCGCGGAGGACGTGGCGTCTTTTCCATTCTGTCTCCTGAATGCTTTGACTCTTGTTGTTTTTTTTTTTTTTTAGGTGAGGAGTAACTGTCGAGGAAGAAGAAAGACATCGCTGCGACGAGTATTTTGTCGCCGGGTCCGGCGGAACCGAGGCAGTAGAAGCTCGGTAGCGGCATGCTCGGATCTCAGGTGCGAAGACACTGGAGGGGCTTTCCACTTGTCCACTGACCAAAGCCCAGCAGCCCCTTGTGGCTCCTTTTCTGGACAGCCTCGAGTTGGACCGAGACCCACTTATTTCTCGCGTTAGTCTTCTTTGGGAAATATCAACATCGTCATTTGTCCGGAATCAGCTTGGAAGAGTTTATTTCTCGTGATTCTCGAGATAGATTAGCAAGCATGAATCCCTTAAGAAGCAATATATGCCGGGTTGAGCGGGATCAAATGTCGGACGAGATTTCTGGGCCTCCATGTTCGGGAACTACGTTGCTGCGAGGTTGTCGTTAGGGACTGGTAGGTCCAGGTCGAGACCCCTCCCAGCATCTCCTCAAGATGATCACTATACTCACACGTCTGCGATGGCTCTGGGAGTCGCTTCCGAAGTGACGTCCTCCGCAATATGGTGGGTTATGATGGGGTGCGGGCATCTATTTCCCTGTCTACCCTCTAGCGACCACAGGGGGTAGGATACTTCTATTGTCGATCTATATACTAAGGATGCCCCCGGTCTAGATGTCGAATAGCCGAGTTGTGATACCTTCCAAAGTTACTCACAGGTGCTGTGAAAATGTCACACACGCCACTCCCCCATCCGCGCAGAATCGTCACCGGACACGACGACCAGGGGAAAGCGATCTTCCTCGCCGACTCGCGCATCCACTTGGAAGTGACCAAGCTGGGCGCCAGCCTCGGCGTGCTCTGGGAGACGAAGCAAGTCCCGGCCGATAATTCTGGGAAGGATGATCCCGCATCCTCGAGGACGACGGATCTCGCGAACAAGAGCGGGGTGGTGCTCAGGGTTGTGGACATTGAGCCCGGTACGACGCAGGTAGGTTCGTCCTCCAATCGCCCCCTAGTGATGTGGGCTTGAAAGAAGCGGGAGGAAAGTGTTCATTATCAGAAAGGAACAGAGACTCTAATTGTCGTCAGGCCAAGATGCTCTTCCATAGGACCGAGTCGCTCGACTTTGGGATTCTGTTCGACGGTCAAGTCTCATGGTGAGCTTCACCTCTAGCAACATCTACCGCAATTCCTTCTCATTGCACCTTATTCTTTTCTCCTCATTGGCCTACTCAGTGTAGCTTGCACTGTTCCGAACTAATCAGAGTGTCATGGTGGTCAAGTTATTTGGACGACGGCGCTAGAGTCGACATGGAACCCGGCGACGTGTGTGTCCAACGCGGCACGATTCACGGATGGACAAATACCGGCCCCAAGACGGCACGAATGTATTTTTGCTTGATAGGTACGTTGGCTTCCCCAGAGGTCTTCCTCGTTGCCGTTGTGTCATTTATTTTGCTGATTAGGGTTGGTATTGTCGTCGAATAGCCGCGGAGCCGGTCAGAGCGGGAGACAAGGTGCTCGGGGCGCATGGATACCACAAGGACGATGTCGCGACGGGCGGAACTCAAGAGGTCTAGTGCGAATAACGGAGCACTATGTTTATATTCGAATTCTCGTATATTGCCAGTGTTGCGATACAGTTTCAACACTTTACCAAGACATGTATTGCTGGATCTTGTATGTATTTACAAGAGAATCAATGGTCCTGCTATCCCAATAGATGTTAGAGAGAGCGAAGGGGTCTGGACAGAACCAATGGCCACCTCTGGTCATGGATACATCTATCTAGAGGTGTTCTTGGACAAGGTATCCGTATGCTCGGAGGAGATTGTTCTGCGTGATTTTATCTCCAGGTAGATTTGACAGTGCATGTCTTCCACTTCAACCAATTTCTCTTTTTGAAAGTGACTTTTAAGCTCAAAACCTCAATGTCTCGCTCCATCATCGGATCGCCCACTCATTTCCGGTGCCCACTCCTCGCCAAATTGATGTAGCCGGGCCTCAACTTCGTAAAGACACCCTGCGGATCATATTTCTCGCTGACCCGCACCAGTCTCGCCAGGTTCTCCTCGCCGTAGCTGGCGAACACGTCCTGATCGCCCGCCGCGTAATTGAGGTAGATGTACCGGTGGAATTTGTTCTGGGCTGTCGCTGTCGCCGTCACGCGCTGGGTGAATGCCCGCGCGAGGGACTCGACGATATCGTCGTCCGAGGGGTCTGTCCATGACCAGAGCAGGGATATCACTTTTCACACATGGTTAGACTACTGACTTACACGTGATGTGGATGATGGACAATGGGTTGGAGAGCGAGAGGTTTTCCCAGCTTAGCACCAGGGCACTCACCGAACAGAGGTCCATCTTCCCTGCTGATGCCCAGCGGATTCTCGGTCTCGTCCGCCAGAAGCATTCGCGGAAGGAGAGGCTGTAGCAAGATCGCGGGCACAAAGTCCTTGACAGTATCTCTGTGTGGGTTGATAATATCCTTGTAAATCGCCATGACTTCGTTGAGGACGCCCACGTCGCTTTTGACCGCCAACGCTAGTGTTTTCGACCTTTTTTCCCTTGGATGTTAGCAATTGACAGGCCTCTGCCTGGACGGCATCAAAGGAGGACATACCTCAGCCCATGGGGATTATTCGCGTTCAACTCGACAGACAAGTCCGCGATGCTGCGAACCCTGGTCGACGACGCAATCGACGGCAACGCCTTGAACCCGTCAAACACGGGCGGATCTTCCCGTGGTTGTCCATGTGACAGGACCGCCGTGGTGACGAACTTGCCCATCGGTGCGACGAAGGCCGTGATGATGAAGGCTTCGGCGTAGATATCAGCAGACGACGAGGAGGGATCTTGGTTCCTACAGAACTGGTCCAGCAGGGCGATCGCCTCCGCCTCCGAGTCTTCGAGATACTGTTTCACCCCGCCCCAGATCTGGCCCTGCTCGAACGCAGCGAACTCGAATGTCGTTACGACCCCGAAATTCGTGCCCGCGCCGCGGAGAGCCCAGAAGAGGTCGGGATGGGATTCGCGTGTGGCGGTGACGATGTTGCCATCAGCGAGGACGACCTGCTGGCCATTCATTAGGACACCTGCACGTCTGGATGGTCCTCGTCGACTCGAGGTCGAGACATACCTCGTAGCTCTTGACATTGTCACACGCAAGCCCAAACCGGCTGGCTGCGAAGGAGATGCCTCCTAAAATGGGACAGTCAGAGCTGGTTCGTCATTTCTTGTAGTCTTGAAGTAAATGTCTCACCTCCAAGAGTCAAGCCACCAACGCCGACAGTCGATATGCGGCCTCCAGGCACGCTGACTCCCAGCGCGTCGAGTCTGCCGTAGACGTCCCCCCACTTTGCCCCTGCGCCGACGAACACGGACTTGCGATCAGGGGCCACTTTCACCCAGTCGATCCTGCTCAGATCAATCAAGATGCCGTCCTGGATGCTCGATGCGCCAGCGTAGACGCCATGTCCGCCCGCTTTCACGGCGAACGGGATCTGCTGGTCCCGCGCGGTCTGGAGGATGGTGGCGATGTCTTTCGCGTCTTCGGGGAATACTTGGACGGCGGGGACTTGGGCTGCCGACTGGGCGGTGAAGTATTTCAGCTCGCCCGGCTGCGGTGCTGCGACTTTGTCCTTGCCCAATCTGTCGTGGAGTGTGGTGTACTGTCTAGGTCTTAGCACTTTGATATTGTTTTCCAGTTGGAGGGGCTCGTACTGACCACATCTTTAGGCGCCATGGCTTGTGTTGTGGAAGGGGATCGAGCAAAAGTAATAGAGAGACGGTGTTCTGGTAATGGCGCTGCTTTACATACTAGACTCCCACGTCTGCAAAGATCCTTCAGAATCCAAGACAGCCTATAGTGGGACCATATGGGGGCTAGTCCTGGTAACATGAACGATTGATTCGGCTCCCGCCTGCGCTTCCCGGTTCCGGGAACCGAAAGGCCGTAAACCCCATGGGACCCCGGCACCCCAGGTTTCCGCAAGTCCTAGTCTGTGCACAGGATTATGTGCCGCTAGAGAAAGCGGAGTCCATTGCGGAGCGCGTCGAAGGTCTCGTCACGGTACCCTATGTCGGGAGTTCCTTTGATCAGGTTGCCAGAACCGGATACAGATCGGGTCGCCCGCGGTAACACCACCCTTTCAAGAAATGGATACATAAACCGCATGTTATCTCCTTTCAATCTCGTCCTTCTCACCTTTGTACCCCCAAAGCTTTCATTCCCCCTGAAGTACAATCTCACAGGTGATGACAGCCATGCCCTGCAAGCTACAGATCCTCATCAACAAGCAAGACCACCTCAGCGATGAGGAGTTCCACCGCTAGTAAGTTCGCCCGAAGCGACATTGCACTGGCACAGGCACGCACAATATACAAAGTCACCGCTTGACTGACCTCGTCACAGCTGGTCCGTCGAACACCCCAAGATCTGGCTCAGTACCGAGATTGTCAAGAAGAAGATCATCACATACTCTCAGGTTTGAGTGTTCCGAGCACAGCACTGGCGAGGGATCCACCATGGGACTGACTGGTCAAAAAGTTCCACGTCGACAAAAAGGCCACGGCGGTCCTGACCGACTTTGGCGTCGATATCGGTCAGTGGGACGGCATCGTGACCATGGTGGCGGAAAGCATGGACGAGTTGTTGAGCGTAAGATTGGTCCCTTTTCTCTCAAAACGTCCGTTGGAACACAGATCTGTTGACGAAATGTTTCAATGTCAAGGTCTTTGCCGACGAAGAGTATCTGCGCGTGGTGGTGCCTGATGAGAAGAAGTTCCTGAAACGCGAAACGGCCATAATGATGATTGGGGTGGATCATCCAAAGAAAGTCGATGGAAAGGTCGTGGTAGATATTGGGAGGTAGAGTTATAGAACTAACTTATCGCTTGCCGGGCGACTCAACCTTTCATCAGGTCTGCTTCTTGTATTTGAACCTCTCCAAAAGCTTGGTCAATGCCTTCTCTGCTGCTTCCTTGGTTGGCACCGTGCCGGGAAACCCGAACTCGTCCCAAACGGCTTTCTGGACCTCGGGCCGCTTCCGGAGGTAGTGCATACAGGCCCCCTCGATGTAACGTTCCTTGATGATGCCGCCGTCGTACCAGAAGGCGCGGTCCAGGATCAGAAGCACTTCCAGACAGATGGCGATCATCTCGATCGACACGAGGTACGTTCGAACCGCAACGGTGACGGCGACGTGAGCACCTCCAACGACCCACAGCACGGGAGCTACCGATACTGCGGTTCCTGCGGCCGTTTCTGCGGCATTGAGGGCCGCCCCGAAGATGCTCGTGCTCAAGAAGGAGCCGCCGAAGATACCGAGGAGAATGCCCGAGTCATTCTTGACCGGCTTGGGCACCTTCAGCGCGTTGCTGATGATCGAATCAATGGCAACGGGATCAGGCTCGGTGTAATCGTATACCGTGGCAATGGCACGAATAGCCTTTGACAGGAGTTGCGATTTCTTGTCTTTCGAGCCAAGGAATTGGAAGTTGGGTCGATGTCGACCAAATTCTCGTACGGCGGCTTGGATGGCTCGTTTGTGCCGGTCCTGCACGAATCGCTTCTGCGCCGATCGATGTATGTCGGCAACGATCTCGCTGGTCAATTGGGCATATGAAGCAGTAACCAAAGTCCTGATCGACTGTGTGCCGCCTGAATCCTATCAGCGACTAGATCCAGAAGATTGAATGCCTATCTAGAAGGGAAACGTACTTGCTGTGACACTCACAAAGATGGTGGACCCGATTCTTGGAAATCGTTGTCTCCACTCCGCGGCCATTGACTCTTTTCTCTGGGTATATCTCGTAGAGACGAGCGGCCGCAGGTTCTGTCTCAAGGGGTCGGGTAGGTCTCCCCATCGGTAGACATCGTTGAGTTCCTGGTGACCCTCGTCGATCAATCTATTTCTGTTTTCATCAAACACCGCCGTTTCAACGTCGGAGAGCAGCTTATCACTCATGGTAAAGACGTGAACCAGAGGGATTCGTCCAAGTTTCGTCTTGAAGAACCTTGTATCGCTTCCTTGAATTCTGGGGTTGTCCGTTGAAGTACAATACCTTGTAACCATGTCAAAAGCGAAAACAGTGGCATTCTGTGCTCCGACAACTCACCATATACAATGGAGCTGGTCCTGTAGGTTAGGCTTCTGCCCACATTCGGACACAAAGCTCTCGACATCGAGCACTTCACTGTCGGTACCAGTCTGAAACCCTCTAGCATCGTGTAATGACAATGGAGGGTTGCCACCGGTGATGGCCTCTCGTATTCGACTTCGTCCCATCCTTGCACCGTGCTCCGGAACTGTCTGGGCCACCGTCAGAGTCAGCATGAGGTCCCATGGAGTGCGGCCAGTGCGACTAGTAAGATCTTACTCACTGCTATTCGGCCAACAACTTTGTTGATCAGTGCAGATTTTCCAGCATGCGTATGCCCTGCCACCAAGACTCGAGGTATATCTGGGGCCATTGCACTGTGGATCTCGTCATGTATGTTCCATAGCGCTCGGTGTTCGCGAATGATAAATCGTTCTGTGTCTCGCAGTTCCTTTTGGAAAGTCCACCCGTTGACCAGCTGAACCACTCCAGGGTTCTTATGGTCAAGATAATACACGGAGGGGTGAACGAAGACACCGTGAGGGCCTAAGTCTATCAGCATACAGGCGAATACCGTGCACCCACACTTCCAGCCTGGGTAAGAGGACATTGGTAAACTTACTGTTTGAGAGATAGCCAACTAGCCCTCCGTCTTTGAATATGAGTCGGTCGTCCTTTCCCGGGATGTCGATTCCAAAGTCAAGACTGGCGTTGAGTCCAGGTCTTTTCATTGCACCTGTCAAATCTGCCACAGATGATTTTATCCCGTTCTTGTACCGGATCTCCCTCATTGGGACACCGCGGGGGAAGATGAGGTGTGATGGATCCGTGACATTTGACCCTTCCAGCCGTTGAAATCCAACTTTGAATCCGTACTTCTCGGCCTCGCTGACGATCCACTGCAGCGGCCACAGAGCCAAGCCGTCTTCCTCGCATCCTCCGCAAAGATTGCCATGTGTGCCGACGAACCAGGCCTCCTGAAGACTTCGTGAGCCATCCAACTCGTCCAGATCTGTGGACGGGAACCGGGTAGGCCGATACGCATTCCTGCGCTCAAACAGAGCAAGCGCATGCCGCGCGTGCAACGTCGTTCTCAGAAGACCCATGTCATTGAGACCTTCGTCATCCAGGGCCTTGACGGTGTCAAACAAGCCGAGAAACTTGATTGAGGGACTGGGTCGGGCGTGGTGTGATCGATGTGCAAACACAGAGTTCCGCAACAGGTCGTCACTCGTCTTTGCGGCGTGATAAAGTAGTAGGGACTTGTGGAAAACGTCGTCAAAGTCAGGGTCATGGGCACGCAACGCTCCCAGGTGGTGAAGTAGACCAGCAACGGCGCGGACGACGAAAGCGCCTCGGCTTGAGCCGAAGAGAAAGATTTCATCCTGGGATGGGCACAACTTGCAGCATCGCTTGTAGATCTCTTTGATTTTGGATTCGTAGCCAGTTCTCCCTTTCCCGGTCACTCCAGAGACGAGGCGCTCGATGGGGCCATCGACGGCACCTATACCGTCGACAATCGGGTGTCGTTGCTGCGACCAGGTCTTCCCGGTTGCGTCCTTGACTTCTCCCACAGCTGCCATCATCCACAGCCGACTGATGTTTGTTGCGTTGCCTTGGGGGGCCCCAATTGCTCCGTCTGGAGTCAACCAAGTGCCATCTGCACAGATAATGAGGCGGACAGGGTGATGCGCAGTGCCGCAGTCACGACACGGGCTCGTCTCTCGACTCTCTTCCGGATCAGCGATGGTAGCCGATGGTCCCGGGGATTCTTCTCTGGTCATGTTGGAGACTGAGGCTTCCGTCTTGTAGTAGAATTCGACAAGGCACAAGGATAAAACTGTACTTCAGCCTTACTCAGCCTTGCGTGTCTGTGACGTTTCTCACTGTACCGAACCAAGATTTCACGATGTGTTGTGGTAGTGAAATCTAAGCCGCACGAGGCCCAGTCTTTCTTTCATGGAACGTATAAGAGGACCAACAACGAGTCCACAGCAGAGAAAAGAAGAAGACTGGCCTCCTCCCAACTGGTGCGGCTGAGAGGAGGGAGATACTTATACATGTTTCCCCTCTTTTTCAGCCGCGGCCCACATGCATGCATGCAATCCATCATGATAAGGCTGTTCACATTCAGCCTTATTTCTGATCGTTGCCTTGCGCTCCACAGCCTTACTCGCACATCCTGATGCCTCGGCATTGTGCATTGACTGGTCTCGGGGTGGTCTGTGTATCTACAAATCACTTGTAATCAGCCGGATAGGATTGTGGAAAGGGAGTTCACCTCGATGGTACATTCCCTCGGAGGGTTGGTGAGATGGTTGGAGGTGTAACGAGTAGGGCAAGTACCTCTGTACGTAGGCACGCACCCAATGGGTGACAAAATTCTGTCCCCACTATTATTAGGGTATTCTACCCGGATTTTCTGCCTCACTGGGGACGGAATTCTGTCACCACTGGGTGGTGGGACGCGTGGCACGTAGGGTTACTAAGATTATGTAATGACCGACACGCTACACCCTTGGGGGCTTTAGTCGAAGGCTCCAATAATTATCCGATAGTATGTATATGAGGTAGTCAGATAACGTCCCTAGGATCCAGCAGATTTCACTATGTTTCCAATATAAAGTCACACTTGAGTCTCTACGTTAATCAGATTTGGAGTTAGAGCTCCAACCTGCTGCTTTAGTCTCGGGACTGTCAAGCTCGCTGTATCTGGGCGCATCTCCTTCCTCCACTGTCGGCAATTCGTGCACCGGCTTGGGCTGGCCGTCCAGTTCGGCCCTCTCGTAAATTTTACTTGGTAACGTCGTCGCCGTGTTTGTCCCTACTGGAGCTCCAGTTCCAGTACCAGCGACCGTGGCTGGCGTTACATAAGTCGCATCCTGGCCACCTCCAAGGCCCTTTTCGTGGTTGGACGGGACCAAGTAATTCGATTCTTGACGCGTACGAGTATGTGTCCGCTTGCGTCGTCGCAGGAACCAGATCGCCAGGCCTGCTAGACCCAGCGCTGCGAGAACGCCGATGACGAGTCCAGCGATCGCGCTACCACTTAGACCAGAGCCGCTACTACCGCCACCGCTGCCGAGCAAAGAAGGATCCGTCAAGTTGCCCGGCTGAGACGTTGCCGTAGTAGCAGCGGCGCCAGAACCGCCAGCGGACCTTGTCGTGCCTGTAGTGCCCGCCGTGGTGGTCGATGTATCGTAAGCTGATACAGGGTTTCCAGTATCAGTTGTACCGCCAGCAGATGTGGTAATATATGGCGGCGCAGTCGAACCAGAACCACCTTGCGAAGTCGTCGCACTAGGAAGAGGGGCCGTAGCACTTCGTCCCGACTCGTCGATGATATTTATCGGGGCCGAGTCGACGGTCTGAGTACCTTGAATCAGGCGCAAGCTGTAATATCCCCCAGCATTGTCACCAATGTCGACATCCCACTCAAACTGTTGAACAATGCCCTCGTCATCATCGGCTGCGGTGAACCAAAGACATGTAACTTAGCTTGAAGCAGTTACCAGTGCGTGAGCAGGAGAGGAGATTTGTAACTTACAATCGTCGTTAAAGACATCATCAATGATCCTCCCATCTTGGACCAAATCCACGGCGATAGGCTAAAACCGGTTGAGAAGTCGCATTCCAAAGATTTGCGATGGAGATCAATTTGAAAAAGGCAGAACATACCGTCATTCCATCTCCGCCGGTCCAAGATATGAAGATTTCTACACCTTCGTTGATTGACTCGGGAACATTGGAAAACTGAAGCGACTGAGCCTGGCCTTGACTTTGACGCAGCCAGATGGCCCAGAGAAGAAGCACGGGGATGGGAATGCTCGACAAGGGCATATTCCTCGGTACATGAGAAAGCCCTCTTGTCTTTTCAGAATGAATACTTTTAGTTTGAATCAGGAGTAAAATAACTCCACGTCAAGTGCACACCTGCACAGACAAGACGGAAAGGGAGTCCTCAGGCATTATTTCAACGATAACCACAACAATAATTCAGTGCATTCTGGTCCTCACTGATGGCTGGGTTGCAAATGTATTTCGGGTTGGGTTTGCTAGCAAATTCCAAGACACAAATGCTTGATGACCCACAACAAGCGTGGCTGTGTGGTCTTGTGCTGTCTTGTGGTGGACTGAATCAAGCTCTTGGTCGCTAGGCATGCTCGACTGACTCGTCAGCTACAAAGGAAAAGTTGGTAGAGGACGTGGAGCTTGCCATGGAACCTGGATCAAATTCATGGGTCATTCTTCTTATCTCATGCACGGAGTACCTTGACTGCCATTTTGCCTCTATAGCATTCTTCATGCTCGAAGCTATTCTTAGATCCATCTCCCTTGATGCACCTGGGTACTGCATAAACTCCGAGCCCCCTCATTCCATGTGCACTATCCAGGAGCTCTTAGGAAATATAGGAAGCTCCCCACCCAGTTTTTCCTGTTTGCGGCAAGTCCCGCTGTGCGTTTCGGAACACGGCGGCGAGGGTGAGGGCGATGCTGTCAAGCATTGGCACAAGTCGGGCATGATAACTTTTCATCCCGACCCGCAGGTATGATTGTTTTGCGATTTTGCAGCTGAGGAAAGCAGCAATGGGGGCCAAATACCTGTGTCGTGATTCACTCACGAGAAAAGGCGGCACCTAGGCATATGGAGAGTCAAATGCTCGACTGCGCATGAGTGTGATGATGCTGAACCTAGAGCCGTTGCTTCTGATCCACGTGTCACACGATATCCGGCCAAAGCCAGAGAGTTGGAGGGCTCAATAACCCAAGCAGCATCAAGATATCTGTAGTTAAAGGTGAACTGCACAAGTGACATGAGGCACACGCCGAGACTCGGCCGAGGAGTGACGAATGCAATTGTCTCCATTCGAATGAATCACAGCTTCAACAAGCTGCGCCTGTCCTTGGAAATCATCGAACTCGTCGCTATGGACATCTCGTGTCCGGCCCCATAACAGCCTCTTGGTAGAAAGACTGTCTTGGTGAACGCGAACACAACTTGGAGGACTGCTCCGTGGGTCATTGGTGAAGAAAGAAAGACAATACATGCACAGAATTCGAAGAACAGAAAAAGTACCACCTATAGTGGACATATTGGACTTGCGGGACCTGGCTTTCTGAGCCGTGGCTCAGCAATTGTACGTATACTGTAGACTCGATGACCCCTAAAATAGCATCATCAGCCCTTGTATAGTCCATTGCCGCTGCTCAATCTACCTGAGCTTGGTCTTGGGCTGCGCAAGGTATACGTCCAAACGTACCCTCTTGACGTGTTCAATGTCCAATTCGATTCTGAACAAAAAAGTCAATTCAAGGTGATCACGCGACAGTGATTGGATCGGATTGGAGGGGATATGACAACGAATGATGGGGAAATCGCAGCAGCACTGCCACCGCTCTTGCCAACGAAGTCTTGGAGCATTGGCGAAGAAGGGATTTGGCAAATCGTTTCTTTCTCTGGCCTTGCGTTGGATGATCCTACGCTAGCATTCAACTTAAAAGTGTTCAAGTACAATCCAATCTATATAAAGACCTCTCTCCCGGCAGGTTGGGCACAGTCACTCACACCAAGCCACGCGCGTCCCTCTGAAAAGCACAATTCTTTATCAAAACCAAGAAGCAGAGTCTCAACAGAAAGACTTTGTCTATCAAAAGACAGCAAACATGAAAGCATCTGCTGTGGTCATGACAACCCTGTTGGCTGGTGCTGTTCTTGCCCTACCAACAGCGCCAGCACCAGTCGACTCTCCCAACCACCTGGCAACTCGCGACACGAATGTTGATGCGTTGAGAGCGACTCATTATGCCAGGGGGGCGGGACAGTCCCTCGATATCAGGGATGATCCGGTAGGTCACTCTTGAAGAGCTGTGGCCTGATCTCGCATTACATTGTGGAGGATCACTAACATCGTTCAAGGATACCACCGATGGGGAAGTCACAGACGATCTCGGAAGCGACACAGATGACGAGGCGAGTACTCCCATCCTCCCCTGAGCTGCATCGATCCTAACTGGGCATTGTAGCGCCGAAAAGGAAAGCTTACGCGAGCGGTTCGGAAGCGGTCAGAGCGGAGATCCAGCTCGTCCTCTTTTGCAAGGAAAGACAAGAGACGTCCGGATGATACAGTGAGATCTGGCCCCTTTTACGAAGTACGATTTTGTCACCAGTTCTAACGTTTTGCAAGGACAGTGAGCATAGTGACGGAATCGACACTGACAATGACAGTGATAGCGATGATGACAAGGTATATCCCTAAACTCGTGCAGATTCGCTAGAGCCCCCTTGATATTAACTTGAGTCTCTTCTAGAAACACCGCAAGCGAGCCGTGGCCGTCAAAAAGGCAAGACGGGCAAATCGTACTAGACGCACCGCCACCAACAAGAAACGCGATAATGATACCACCGACAACGATAGCCCGACTGACGGCGAGGATAGTCATACTGACCACACTGCCAGCGACACTGACTAAGTCTCTGTCCTGCAAGCACTTTATCTTTTCATATCTAGGGGTTGATTTGGGATCACCAAGGTCTTTTCATTTTGTTGAGGGCCATGAAATTTCATGAAATTTCATGGGCTCACCGGATTTCGGAGGAAGTCGCTCGTTAATGTGAGGAGGAATTTCCAATACACATGCCACTCGTTTATACTTTACTCAATGCGGTGGAACTTGAACAAAGCCCTCTTGCCAATTCCCGATTGCTTCGGCAGACAACGTTTGGGTGTCTAGAACCCCTCGTTCCAAGTCCCGATACGTAGTAGCTCTTTAGAAGCACCGAAAGGGTGGGCCTTTGGTTGCCAGAATTGTTTACACCTGCTCCCTTCTGCGGGTGAAACATCCAATGCGCTGAACATGCTCCATTTCCTCGTCATCTACAACGACATCCGAGTTGTAACTATATCCAAGCAACCTCGGTTCGCTAGCTGCAGGACGCTGCAAGTCTAAGAGCTGCTGGAGCATAGAACTATTGGCCCTATCACGTGTCGCCTGTAGTGGTAGGTGTCGGTCGTCATGAACGGCATCGTGCCCTTCCGCCAAGGTAGCTACATGGGATGTGGACAGTGGACCTGATTGTCGTCTATAGCAAGGAATGACTGTACAGATGGTTGACTAGCAACGGCTGCGCTCCACCAACAATGCAACTAAACAGAGCTCTATCCATCGCAATCGTTCGTATCCCTGCGTCTAGACTGATCCCTGGTCTGACTTTGTCCCCATCATTGAGAACCCCCCCCCCCCCCCCCCCCC